AGGGATGGGCGATACAATTGAAAATATCGATATTTCATATCGATACGTATCATAAGTAAAAATATCGATATACTAAAAATATCGAATAAAGAGTATCGATATTCGATATATCGATACGACTAATGTTTCTATTTTTGTTTATATTCCTACCATATATATCATTATTTACTTATTTATTTATATTTTTTATACAGAAAATAAATAGAGAAAATCTATTATATTTTCCGCGTTTGTCGTCTAAAATAGATGTGTTTTTATAGGAAAAGGAAGAAAAGAATTTATTCAGGCTGTCTCTAAGAATGTATTATAAATATATTTAAAATATCATGTAATAAGTTACAAAAATTAACGTCTTAAGCATCTTAAGTTATAAATATATAAGTAAGTCAGGCAACCTTAAGTTACAAAAGTTTACACTAAGTTTACGTTACGTTTATATTAGTTTGCTTATGTTAAGTTTATTTTTACATGCTTACAATAACCAATCTTCTATAGCAAGAGAATTTAGAAAAAGCAACTGTGTTAGATGCTCACCCGTAATACGATTTCTATTTTTGGTCATAATGTTTCCAGCACGAGAAAATAGTCGTTCACTTGAAACAGATGTAGCAGATATGCACAAATATTTCAAAGCTATCTTTTTTAAAGACGAATGCATATTAACTAGCCAATATTTCAGTGGATTGTCATCCATCTTTATTGGTGGTTGATTTAGATAATATTTAAGCTCATCCGCCATTGAAAATTCCTTATCTTTAGACATGTATTTAAATCTATTAACCAAGTGTTCATGGTATGTCCAGAAATTATCAGTTTCTGTACAATTATCTAGTGGTACATTTTGATCATTGCATTCATCTAATTCGTTTGTATTTATCATTTGGGTTATTTTATTTATAGAATAAGCGCATGCTATTCTATCCGAGAAATTAATATTTTTGAATCGAGGGTCTAATATAGTCGAGATCGCTAATGGTTGAACTTTTTCAATATTGTTTAATCTTCTCGCAAATTGATGTTCTATTACATTTTTAAAGTGAATACCTATTTCAGTAGACGGCGTGAGCATATCTAGTTTATTTTTCAACGTATTAACAATGGGGATAACTTTACTCCCAGTAAGGTATTGTTCACCGGATACAATTTTAGTTGCTTCATCAAACGGCTTTAATAATTGTATAAATTCTTTTCCAGCTTGTAATTCTGATGCAGTCAACATTATTGGTGCTGTAGGATGTTTCAGGAGAATAGTACTAACTTTATCTGCCAACTCAATGAAACGGTCCAGCATATCATAAGTCGAATTCCATCGAGTTTCGACACTTTGTATTAACTTAAGATTTGACTGAGTTCGCAATTCATCTGCAGCAACTACAGAATGCTTAAAATATGTAACGATATTTTTAATTTTTTTACAAAATTCGCTAACAGTAGCATCATCTTTAATTATGATTGCTGGAATTAAATTTAAAGTGTGTGCGAAGCGCGGCAAATGTTTCTCCGTACCAAACGCTTCTGTAATTGCCTTCTTTATGTTGGCTGCATTGTCGGAAACAACTACTACAACATTTTCTATATTTATATTCCATTCGCACAAGATGTTTAACAACCACATTTTTATATTTTCAGAGGTATGCCGGTCGTTTAATTCACTAACACCAATAGTTACAGATTTATATGTTTCTTTTGAAATATAATGAGCTGTAAGACCTAAAAAGCTTTTAGTATTTAGCGTATCCGTCCAAATGTCGGTTGTTAAACATAGATTTGTAATGTCTGAAATTTGAGTTTTTATCATACTTGATAAAAACTCATATTTTTCTTCTATTAGGCTCGTCATCGTCTTCCGACTGGGAATCTTGTACAATGGTGCAACAACTTTCATGAAAGTTTTAAATCCTTCCTTTTCTACTGTTGCAAGAGGCAAATTATCTTTTGCAATCATGAAAATAAGGTTGTTAGTAAACTCAGCCGCCTTTGTTCCTCCATCTATAATTAATGAGAAAATAGATGAATATATGTAAGATAATATACGATTATTTAAAATTTATTAAAAAAATTGTTTTATTTATTTAAAAAAAACGTTAAGTAATAAATACCATGAAATGATTTTTGGTTTTTAAAAGAAAGATCAAGAGTAGGCTGCCTCCTTTTTACGACTGGTAATGATGAAACCGATGTCTCTGATTGTGAATGACCTGACAAAACTGATAAAGCAGGGGAACTAGGAGATGGTATAGATTTATCCGTAAAATCAAAATCCTCGTCTATATCAATTTCATCCTGTGGCTAAAATATATAACGTATTAAATACATTAACAAAATCCCAAATACTTTATATAATATTAAATTTTAGTTAGTGTTTTAGTTTACATAAATAAGTAATTGTATATATTTATTACCACAATTTTTCTCTGTTTTGTTAAGTTTGAACATTCTGTAGCGTTAGTTTCAGCTATATCCCTCTTCATCTGAATATTAGGATGTGTTCGGGTCAAATGGAACCGTAAATTGGTTGTATTTCCAGAAGTTTTTATGACTTGTTGGCAAATGTTACATTTGCCACCTACGCTAGTTCGGGTGAAATATTTCCAGCAATTACTTTTGGTTGGCGGCACTATACATAGAAGAAACAGATATAAGAAGAATATTTTAATAAAAAATAATACTAAAATAATGCATGCGTATAAGGTAATGCATAGGATAAGTACTATTTTAGAGTAAGCAAACATGAGGCTAGTACAGATCGGTGTGGAAAAATGAAGTGAGGTTAGGGCTTTTGTGATTCCTTCCCAAGTGTCCAATTCAGTTCTCTTAAACATAACATAGCACAATATCATGCATAATTCCTATAAAATTTAGAAAAATATCAAACAGATTACTGTGTAACAGATACAAACAGAACAGAATAAAATATAATCACACTTTGGTCAATCAGACATAGAGTTGCCAGATTCCACAATTGTTAGGAAAAGACACCGAGGTTTTGACAAACAAAAGGTCATTGCAAGAAGGTTCAGTACAAGACTTTTTCAGTAGGTACCATTTACCTAGCTCATATAAAGAACTCACAACTAACAAAATAATCCAAAAAAACATCGTACGGGAGTCCAGAAGATTTATCCTTTGGATATTTGTGCAATGTTTTTGGATTCTTTTGCTAGCTGAGCTGTTCTCTCGTGCTCCGCTCTTGTGTTCCGCTCTTTCGTTCGTTCACTCTCTCGTCACCATGCTCTTGTCCACTTTCTCATCCGCTCGCTAGTCGTTTGAGATAGCGAGTTGCGCGTGCGCGAGCAACTTCTTCCCGCGCTGCTCTTGCTTCCCGGTATTGAGGCGCCCCGCTTCTCGTGAGCCATCTAGCGCCTAATCTTGCTGCTTTTCGTCGGCAGAGGCAGATGCGTCGGTCGACATTCGGCCGACTTCGGAACAAACCATGTCGGTAATCGCGAACGGATTAGACGGCATTTGCATGTTTTCCGAACACCAATTAATAAATAATTAATGATATCGAAGTACATGCATACCTCTCTATATTTATTCTTCTAATTTCCAATCTTTCTTTCTTCTCTGCAACTCTAGACAGATTCCAAAACACACGATCCTCGTCCCTGTCTACGCTATTCGTTATATACGATTCATTTTGCCGTGTATCGAAAGTCCGATATTGCTGTTACAATATCGATATGTATATCGATTACTGTAGTAATATCGAAAGAAAAAATATCGATACAAAATATCGATATTTAGTTCCCAAAATATCGATATTGTAAAATATCGATACTGTATCGCACATCCCTA